GTGAGCAGGTTAAAGGACACCACCTTCAGGCTGGTTCTTTGGCCTCTAACTTAATTCTTCAGAGTTGGCGAGTCTTTGCCTCTGATTCTGACAACTTGCCTCACACTTCTGTGTTGAATTATGATCATGGTCTATGCTTTTGTCTTTGACACTAAAACATTTTATTCATTCAAGCATCGTGAGTTGACTTCTTTCTGTATTTCTGGAAACATATTGGGTACAAGGGTTAATAGTATAGTTAATCTTGGAAGTTAATATGGTTAATCTTGAAAGTTCTTTGTTGCTTAAGTAGGAAACAAGCAAGGACATAATTACTGTTTCATGTGTTCAGGTGCCACAGTGGAGGTCAGGGACGAAAGTCTGTGACAATGCAGAGTATGGGGGTCATATTATGAGTTGGTGACTCTTATAACCAGTATTAATCATAGTTATATTTTTTTTTGATGAGTTGGAAATATGACTGAAGCCTTTATTTTACTTTAGTTGGTATTCTCAACACAGGGCTTGGCATATAGTAGGTGGTTATTAAATACTTGATAACAAAATGAGTGATGCTTTTTCTTATGAGAGAAAATAAATGTTTTTAGAAGAGTCAGCTTTATACCACAGTTTCAAGGAATGAATTGTGATGAAAAGTGAAGATTGCTTTTACTTGAAAGAGGCTGACAAATTTCCCAGGCCCAGGATCACTTTATGCGGCGTATGATTTAAGGGTGAGTGAGCGTGCCAAAGCGCTCCACTTGAGCTGAGTGATGGGGAATGAGTTGTGGAGCTGTGGTCTTAGATGGTATTTTGTGAAAAATAGTAAGAGATTTATGACTATTAAACAACTTTGTAGCCACCCCTTCTTGTTTTGAAGCTTGCCAAATCTCCTCCTGTGGTCTGTATCTTGCTCGTTAAGGGCATCCGTGATGTTCAGAAATATCCCCTGGAATGCGGGTTTCCATAGATTCCACCCAATGCGAAGGGTCTTGAATTTTACACATCTATCTGAAGACATTTGTTTTCTGTAACCACTGAGTGAAAATCTCACTTTGCAAGTCTCCTCTAGAATGTACTGTACTTTCACTGAATTTTTCCAGTGAGGTTGCCAAAGTTTTACCTTCCTTCCTGCATTATGGAAATTGCAGAGAGCAGTATATTAGTGACTATTAGCATTATTGATGTGAGTTTAAAAAATCATTAACAATTCTGAAATGTTGAGTGAGAGCAAAGTACAGAAACCTTCAGCATCCTTTGACAAATCTTAAGCAGAAGGACTTAACAGGCTGGAATGAGAATTTCAAGCCTTGAATTGAAGGCGATACAAATATACTATTATTTATTATCTCTTTCCATTCTATTGTCACACTCAATAGCTTTAGAAGAAATAGATATTTCATCACAAAAAAGCCAACTAGACATGAACCTTATCTATGTTTGCAAGTATTAGAAAATTGTTGGAGGAAATCTCTAATTATGGATTCATATTAATGTAGGACTATATGGATCAGAGAGAAGCCCTTCCTTTGTTTTTCCTTTCACTTTTTGTGTTTAATTTTGAGAAATTCCAAAAATATAGACAAGTTTTAAAAAGTCTGTAACTTTCTAATATTTTGACATACTTGCTTCAAGTCATCTCTAAATAATTAAAAAAAAAAACCCTTGTATAGAAAATAGAAGCCCCCCCAATCATATTATTAGCTCTAATCCTATTACTCTGTCCACTGGCAGAGGCACTCATTTTCATAAATTCAATGTACAACTTTTATAATTTATAGAAGTTTTCTGTACACATGAAATCAAAGAACTATGTTTTCATAAATAATGTTATACTACATTTATCATTTCGCAACTTGCATTTTTGTTGTGTATTAAACTTTCAGACCTCAAATTGAGATAGATAAATCAGGTTTATTGCTCTTAAATACTAAATATTATTCCATCATATGTATATACATTTTATTTATTTTTTTATCATTGATAAACATTCGCATTATTTCTATTTTTTTCTGTTATACATAATGCTGCCGTAAGCATCATTTTATGTTCTACCTTTCAGACCTGAAAGAAATTTTCCATAGTATATATTTTAGATGGAATTGCTGTATCAATTTTCAATTATATGCACATTACTAAATTACTCTCCAAAGTATTTGAACAAATGTACATTTTCACAGGCAAGGCATGAGAGGATAGGAGTTTCATTTCCTCTCATTCTCTATAGGACTTGTGATATTTAAAATTTGCCACTAAGATGGGGAAACAATTGCCATTTTAACTTTCATTGCCTTTAGTGCTAGCAAATTTGACCCTCTTCTCTTTTATTTATTGACTCTCCAGGTTTTCTCTTCTTTGAATTGCCTGCCATTTCCTGTGTCCATTTTTCTATTGTAATTTACTGAGAAGTGCATGCATTTTGGATACTAATATTTTATTGTAGACATTATAAATATCTTCTACCAAGAATGATTTAAAAAGTAAAGTGTGAAAGTATAATTCTGGCTATAGGTAGTTAGGAAATTTGACAAGGACTCAAAGATTTGAGAGTATTTGTAGTTCTGAAGATTCAGATTTACCCAAATTTCTCTGTTCTCACTTTAGGCATATCTTCTTAATCCAGGTTAAAAAAATCATTATTTACATCTTTCCACCTGGCACCTATATTTCTATGATCTCATCATTGTTATACTATGGGTACATTGCTTTAGTTTCAAGGGGGGTTCTTTATTCTTGGGTAGGGAGCATACAAATTTAAGACATTGCCTTGCCCTTTTCTTTTATGTATGTGATAATTGTGCCTTTCTGAATCATGCTTCTAAGCATAATCAGAGACCAAGTGTGTTTATCACGATTGAAAAGATTGCATAGACTTCATTTGGATAAGAGCCAAGTCAAAGACTTGGTAGTTAGAATCTTGATTTGTGGTGGTTTTCCTAAACATCCAGTCATGCAAGTCCCACCAAAAGTCATAGCTGGCAAAATTGTTCTTTCCTGGATTCCTTTCCATGCCTTGAGTTTATAAATGGACACTGAGCTGAAAAGTAATTAAATGGTAGGCATAGAATGATGACTGTAAGACAGAACTCAAGCCACACAATTTTTGCTTTGACTACAATTGGAAATAAAACTAAATAGCTATTTTACCCTTGGTTATAAAACTTTAATGTTTTGCCCAGTCAGAGGTATTTGCTGAAAGGTAGTTACTTCCAGTAATTTTAGGAAAAGCTGTCATTAAATTGTCAACAGCCTAAATTGAGATGAAAAGTACTAAGAAATATCACAATATAGCAACGTAAGATTCATATTAGAATTTTAGGCTTTTTTAGTAATGAGGTAGAGCAGAAACATTGCAGAGAAAGAAGCTACATCCTCCTATGAAGGAAGTGTAATAGATCTATGGAAAGACTGCTCTGTACCCCCTCCCCATATGTCTTGCCTCAAGCATTTGAATAGATGCCATTTTTAGAAAATTGTCATTGTGTCTCATTTATCACACAGGGATTACAAGAGACCTTGAATGCCAAATGTAGAAACACATGGTAACTCTAGTATTTGAATTTTAATCTAATTTCTGACTCTTTTATATCATTGCAGCATCCTAAGTGTCTAATGATGTAGTACCTAGCAAGTCTTATCTATTTTTTAAAATAAAACATTTTTCTTGGTGACTGAACTTTTATCTTTCTGGACCTAATACCCTTGAATCAAATTTAAACACCATATATTTCCCTTGGAGCTGGAGTGAAGTAATGCTACCTAAAATCTGTCTCTACCCTAGGGACAGAGCTTCTGATTTTGCACCATTCAAAACTCTTTATGTAAGTCTCCACTGAAAGCTGCTTAATCAAACATCTCAAATGTCAGAAACAGAGTTTAAGGGGTTTTTCTAGCAAGTAGGTCTAATCTCCTACTTAGTTTTGATTCCTATAATGTAGATAATCTCTTTGGAGAAAAGGCCTGCTGCTAGCAGGGCAAATATATCCATAGAATGTATTTCCTATTCCAGAAAGAAATACATGGCATTAATGAAATTTACTTTTTCATGAAGCTTGGAAAGGTTGTAAGCTTAGGATGTTGATCCTAGCAGATGTTCTTTTTTGGATTCTAAAAAAAAAGTAACATTTGATTCAGAAGTCTCAATAAGAGTTGCAGTAGTGATGCTTTGTGCTGTAAGAAGCCACACTCTGAATGCGACACTGGTCATCAGTTTTGAGTGACAGCTGACTTCACAGCCATGGTCCTTCCTTCCTGTCTTAGCCCCCATGCATGTAAATTAAGGCAAAGAGAGAGTTAGCAGCCTGGGTCATACCATATTTAGAGTTTGGTGGTTAAAGAACTATTTGAGTACAATAAAAAAGCATCTTCATAGACATATTTTATATCATTTTCTTATAGACCTTGGGATAAGAAAGTTTTGACAGCCTTTCTATTCCAGTTTCACTTGGGTTTCTCATTGTTCTTGTTAAACTTAGCTAGAACCCCCATTCCTGGATCTTCAATGGCTTGTATACTTTCTCATGGTCACTGCATGACTATGGAGTCTTATGCCTTCATATTCTCTTTGTCTCCATGCCACTGGGCCCACATAAAGCATCCCAGTTTTTCCCATCTGTCCCAGGGTCAAAGCTCAGTTTCGTTATTGGTTTCCATGGAAATCCACTCACAGTGAACATTTAATCTGTGGGAATTACTGGACGAAGGCATGTGATAGAAATCTAAGTATGCACCACTTCCTGCCTTCAATCTGTCTCTTTCCTCCTTTTTCTTTCAGTTCAGCACAATAAACATACAGACTCCTTCTCTCAGAGCCCTTCCACCTGTACTGAGGCTCCTCAAAGCTTTGTAGTCTACCCTGAACTCTTCAGTATATTATCTCAACTCAGGCGATTCTTGCTCCCTAAGAGTCTCAGTAAATAATATTTTCTGCAAACCCAAATCCCGAGGAGACATGTTTGGTAAATGAAGGTATTTTTTTTGTTTGGTGTTGCTTCACATTGATGTTTGCTTTTATCACACAGGTTTCCAGTGACAGTGTTGCCGCTTCTCCAGAGTGCCACTACACACCCCTGCCTTCTGCTTCCAGGGAACTCACAAGTCATCAAGGTAGGAACTCAGCTTGTTATTGCTCTCAGTGGTTACAGGGAGGGACCCTTGGCTTCACACAGCTCTGGGCTCATGACTGCTGCCTAGGTACTTTAGAAAGAACACAGTGCTTTTCAAGTCTTTGATGAGAAAACCATTCCTGTCAAACCTAGCAATTTTAACTCATATTAAACAGAATTTAGTGGCAGTCTACTGGGAAGACAAATAAATCCATGGTATAATATAATTTTGTGTTTTTTTTCTATAAATAAAGAGATTAGAGTCCTTAAAAATTACTAAGAAGATAATTACCTCCAGCAAAAGGAATGACGAGAAATTGGGAAACTCACTAATATTTGTAGAAGCGTCATTGTTTGGGAGCCCAATAGTTGAAATCTGTATTTAAAAATGAATGAACTCTATATTACAGCTAAAAGGAATTCCAGTTTTGCTGGAAATGTTGAAGATAATCAATGTATAGCTGTCCCTGAATTCACTGAACCTTGAAATGTTAATTTGGCTTACCCGGTTTTTCCAAAGCCTTTAATTCCTCTAGCTATCTCTAGAGTCTGTATGGAATATAATTTCAAAAATATCTTATCCCTAGGCTGGCTGCTTAGGTCAAGGACTATGTGATCACCTTTGTTGGAACTGGTTAGGACAGAAGAGGCCATGCAGTAGACCTGTTTACCCTTTTCATCCTGGTAATGACTACAGCCATGCTTTCTAATTGTGAACCTGCCTTGCAAGGGTAAATAAGAACAGGCTTAGCTTGAGTGCATTCTATACTTTAAACATGGTTTCCCCAAGCAGGAAATTCCCTTTGTACATATGGAGGGCATTGACTAAGGACAGTCCAGCTTTGTCATCCCAGATGTACTGCAGGGTTAGTGCAGGGAAAGGCTGTAGAGATGCCCAGAAAGTGGTGGAGCTGTTCTGCTAGGAAGACACGTGGGCTCTGGGCACACAGCACATTTCTGCAGGAAATGATCCAGAGACTAATGCGGCATTCCAGTGGTCTGTGACTTGGGTTTGTATTGCATCTTTGATGCCTGGGCACAGTAGAACTTTTCTACATTTAAATATATGTTGGGTGCTGTTGTGATTCTGTTCATTAAGTATCAGTTTTGTGAACATCAATTTTGCTCAAAATCAAGGCAAAAAAAATGCTTCCAACACGTTTATTTTGAGAGACATGCAAAGGCCTCCTTCACTAAATGTCCTTGTGAAGGTTTTGAGCCTATCTCTTTAGAAACATTTTTAAATTCCCCTAGGCAAATAATAATGCCTAATCCAGGAAGAATAACAAATCAACCCTAGCATCATATCATCATGCATTTATTTACTGGTTTCTTGTATTTGAATGAAGGTAATTTTAATGCATATAGCCTGTTGAATATACTGCATAGGAACTAAAGTCTCAGAGCCCTCAAAACTACTTGTAAAAGTTGATATGTCCATGAAATTGAGATTTTACAGCAGGAGAACATGATTAGGTAAATGTTAACCATCAATAAGACAAAGATCCTTTGTCACTGTAACAGTAAAATAATAACTCTGAACCTTGAAGAGATGGAATATAAGAAAATAAGTTTTGAAGACATTTTGAGTAATATTTATAATATGGAAAAATGCCTGAGGAGGTTAGTGTGAAAATAGGTGCTCTCGGGTAACATCAGAGCCCAACATCAATGGTAAAAAAATATTATTTAAAGGGAGCTGGCAATAGCTGTCTTGATTTTACTAGGAATATTTCCATACATTTATTGCACTCGGTGCCTGATCAGTGCTGAGGACTCAGATGGTGTAAAAATCAAGTCAGCAGCATGAAATGATGGCTAGGACTTTTGGGCCTATGGTCATGATGAGAGCAGTGAAGAGAGAGGCAAAGAAGCTCATTAAAGCTGAATTATTATTGGACTGATCTATGTAGGGAAAAATTGGGACAGATGTACAGTGAGTGATACCTCGGTAGTCATTGATAATTTGTTCCGGAACTCGTGATAAGTGCCAAAACCAATGAGTACCGAACGATGAAGCTGTTTCTCTTGTGGACAGTGTTGTGACTCATACAAGTTCTAACAAGAGCGATGAGTCCCGATCTAGCACTGAGTGCTGGCACACTTTTTTCTTGTCAAAATGCAACAAGTACAGGATTTGACGATTTATGAAACCAACGAGTACCGAGGTATCACTGTTTTTCAGCTTGGTATGAATTGTACAGTGATCAAGGGGAAAAGCCATCCTTTTTGGCATCCAGAATGAAACAAACCACTTAGTGTCATCTTTTTTTTAATGTGTATATTTAAGTTAAATAAATTATTCTAAATTTCTTATCATATAAATTGGCAAGCTATTTGAGTGTCTTTGTTAATACCCTCATGGAAACAGTTTACTAACATTTATTCAGAGAGGTACATTCATATTGTGAAGGCAGATTATGTCAATCCTTTCCCCAGTGAAATCCTCTATGATGTCTGAAACTTGGTCCATAAAACCTTAAGTGGAAATTCTGTTTGCAAATAATTTTTGATTCATGCAGTTCTCAGCCCCTCTTCATTCCACCCCAACAACTACACAAACTGGCAGGCAGTAGTTCATGTGAAAATTACTATTTTTTGATACATGCCATTTTCCCTTTACTTGTCCTTTTACGTAACTTTCAATGTCGGATATGATGGACCCAAGATTCATGTCCTAAGAACTCTAGATTCAAATGCAAGAAAAGTCTGGGCCCAGGATAATGATCAGGAGATAGGGGACTCTATTTTTCTATCTGTAATTTACAGATAATCCATACATCACAGGGAAAGTAGCAATGTGTATTTATTTACTGCTTCCTGGATTAAATTTTTTTCTGATATTATCTGTTTTGATTTTTCTCCCTTGAGGTACTTACAATGTTTGTCTCTATTTCCTTAGTGCAATTGGTTATATACTACTTTGTATAATAGAGGTCAGGTAAATGTTTATCTTGAACTTTTAAGTGAAAGCTCCCTGAGGGGCAGTACAAATTCAAATCGTCCTTCTCTTTCACATCTCTGACTCCTACTCATTCTTCAGTTATCAGCTTAAATATCTCTGATCCCACCCTACACATTTAAATTAGGTCAGGTTTGCCTTTTCAGGGACTGTCTTCCTAGATAGGCTTTAAACTCTTGTGTGGAGTGGAGGAGATTGTGTCTATTTGCTCACTGCCGAATCTGCAGTGTCTGGCACAGGGCTTCCTACTTAATGAGAGTTCAATAAGTATTTATTCAGTAAATCATGAGCGATGGAAACCCAGGAGAAAGTCAGCAACTTAGATGACTCTTCGAAGTCACTTGACTGTATCTAGAAAGAGAGACACATCTTCCTCTGGGGGTGAGCACAAAATTGAAGGGAAAGGTCAGCCTTGTGGACCTCAGACCACAACTCTGCAGCTTTCAAAAACCCAAGTGTTATGGAAGGAAGCCATATCTATTGATTCACTGCCAGACAGCATTTAATCACATTGCATAACTTTTGAGTAGATAATTATTTTAATGTCATAGTTTTTAAACTCCAGTGTTTTGATAGTAGAAAGGGAATAGGATAAATGGAAGCAATGAATGGGATTTTTTTATTAGAACAGAAGCTCTCAAAAAAGGAGCTGAACTCTCAGTAAAATGTAGGTTGTGGCATAGATATGGTCCCCTTGAGATCTCTCTATTGTGCTCTAGGTAGGCCTGAGCATGTATCTCCAGGGTACAGGGGCTGTGTCAGTGGTCTCAGCTGCTACCTAGTGGCAGTCTACATACTATATCCTCAGTGGGTATCCAAATTATGAACAATGTTGAAATATTTGTTGGAGAAATATCTCTAAATATGTTATATGCATAGGATACAACCCCTGCATGCCACATATTGATACTGCTACTTTTTATTTGGTAGCTGTTAGAAGTGGAATTTGCTTTTATATAGACCATTGCATCTTTTGGAGAAGACATTTCTATTTAGAGCACAGATCATATCATCCTTAAGACAACCCTATAAAGTGAGAATATCATTATTACCATTTAACAGAGGAAGACACCAAGAATTTCTAGGGGATACTGAGTTCCTCAGCAACAGAGGCAAGGGTAAAAATCGAAGCTCTAGTCCTTGATTCCCAGGCCACCCCTGATATTTATCCTTCACATAGGACATATGAAACTAATGCATCACTAGTGGTGTCATTGTGCTGGAGTGACGAGGAGAGAAAGTACAGGGAGAGGCACAACCTGGAAATGTCCACTGCTGGGGAGAATTTCCATAGCCTCTGCTAAGGTTGCAGAGGAATACAGCATCCTTGCCAATTTCCATTAAAGAATTGTCTCTTGCACCCCTATCCTCCCCTCTTTTAAATTACACATTTATAAATTCTAGAACAGAGAAAGTTTGAGAAACCAAAGAGGAAAAGGTTATGGTATCATTTGGAATTCAGACAGGGAAAATAGAAGATATACTATATATCCAAATTATAAAGAATTTTAATGTAAGGAATGGGAGACTTATACAATCAGTGAACGGCTGAGAGTCAGGGAAGCTGCCACCTACAGTTTCAGCCTCTGATAATTCTCAAGAGCTTGGTGAAGTTTCTGGGTATCTCAGGAACTCCTAGCAATCTCCTACTGAATTTCTAATCTGCAGCAACAATAGGTGATTCTTAAGAAGTTCACTTGAATACTGCTTCAAACATTGTTACTATCCATCCATAGTCCTGCTCCTCCTTCTCTATGGATTTCCAAATCATATTCTAGTATCTTTCTTAGATTCACTCTAACTTAGAGTGCATCAAAGGAATTCTGGGAAATGGAGTTTTCAGGTTTTCCTCAGCGTTGCAGAGAAGACCTTGGAAGAGGTCTTCTTGAACTTATAAATGAAATCTCCCTGAAGGCAGATTGTCAGTTTTAACAAGATATCAATACTAACAGCTATCATGTTGAGGGTCCCATTCTAGTTTATTTGCATATATGTTTTACAAGCACAGTGAAAAACCTCTAAATTATTATTTTTTTTCT